TTATTCATATTGTAGCTACGTCAACAACCACTTCTTCATCGACCTCTAGTAAGTTCGCTGGTAGAAACACACTAGAATCCACTACTGGAACTGAAATTGCTCCACTCAAATACTGACATGGCAATCTTTCATCTAGCATCCTCTTCTTCTACAACGACAACTACTAGCACAACGTCGACTACGGGTATGTGTAAAAATATTAACTGTACAAAAGCTAGGCAAACAACCTCCGTTGAGCTGTTTTCTCAAAGTCAGTCGTTCTGAACATGAAAATGAGTTTAGATTACTGCTTCTTCACATAGAGACGCACTCTCCTGTTGTGGTTTGATCAGAGGCCGGAACAGCGGAAATTCTGCGTTTTCTTATTTTCACAAACATTCATTCTAAGATAGTCTTCTCGAGCCAATCGGCGTGAGCAGAATATCTCGTTTACGTGACTGGAGCGTTCAAACATGAGTTAAAACAAACGAAGAAGAGTTTAAACACGAAATACGTTTGCTCATCATATGACTAATCTTTGCCTTTATTCTTTTCCATTGAGCGTAAAAGAACTGTGTTGCTTTAGATTATATGCGTAAAATTGACGTACTCAGTGAATAGTATCCCGCTTTAGCGGAGCGACGTCGAGCTGAACGTGAAAAAGAAATTAGAAAGAAGGATGAAGAATAATTAAACAGCTTTTCATTTCCGCCTCGGTTAGATGCGTACATTGATGATCAAAAACACTGCATTCTGTAAGCATTCTGCAACGATTCGGATCAAAATGTCAAAAGTTAAATTCCGCTCGGCAGTTCTGTTTTCGACCAAAATTTTCAAAAATCCATTAGATGCGGCCACTATTCGAGTCAAATCGACTTCGTACGCCGAACTACCGAATTCGATAGGGTCTCTGATACCAATGTTCTATCCGATAGTTGCTCGAGTATAACTGACAGGGGTGATTTAATACGTAGGACGCATACGTTATACCAATTCTTGTTCATGTTGCAGCTACGTCAACAACCACTTCCTCATCGACTTCTAGTAAGTTTCGATTGAAAAGGCTTTGTGTGTCGTATTCGAAGATGTAGCGGTCGAATGGCTATTGGACGTAGGACGGAATGATGGTGATAGTTAACTGTAGTCTGTAATGGTTTTGTAGCGTAGTGATGCGTTGTTGGTGTGGAAAAGGTAAGTAAGAAGAATTCAGAGTGAGGAAAGATTTTTTGTTGTAGGGAATGATACCAGTGTGAAGACCGTTGGAGTTTGTGTTAGAAAGGATCGTGTTTCGCCTGCGTCTAGTACTGGTAAGTTATGTTTATATTTGTTCTGTTATAATGGGCAATGATGAGAATTAATTCTGGCATCTGAATTGAAATGTTCTTGCTGGGGTTTGAGACTATAGGGCAATTGACGTGTTGTTTTATTCGTGAGTCAGAAGACCAAAATGTTCTCTCTAAATGAGAGGCAAGGGTTCGTTGAGTTTATTTGGTTGAGATATAGCACTAGGAATCGAGATCTCGCTTGTCCAGAGTTTAGAAGTTTGGACTATTATACATGAAATAAAGCAGTATATTACTACCTTAACGTTGAGAGTTTTGAAATGGTTTTCCAGAGCTACGTGAATGCAGATGTTGGAGGAACTTTTTCAATTTGTTTTTAAGTATGGAGAGATTTGTTTGAAGTCTTGGCTATCGAATAGTGAAAACAACAGATTCATTAGAAAATTTGCTGCTTGCTCCGCGTAGAACCAAATTGGATAAAAATTGGGCGTCAGATGCAAAATTTGTCGGTGAATCCGACAGAGGGTTCCTTATAATTACACCTTCACTTCTTTTTTATGCATTGACATAATCAACCTGGTTTTTGCCTAAATTTTATTTTTCTCATTGGCGCCTGTTTTACAACCAATGAGAAAAATAAAATTTAGACAAAAATCACGTTGATTATGTCGACGCCAAAAAAGAAGTGAAGATGTAATTGTAACGAACCCGCTATCGGATTCACCGACAAATTTTGCATCTGGCGCCTAATTTTTATTTCTGCGCGGAGCAAGCACCAAATTTTCTACTGCTTATTGCCTCTTGTTAATAAGTTATTCGAAAAACAGCCACCGGGCTTATAAGCTGAAAGTGTCAGCAGTACAGTGATTGTTTAGTAAGTGATTTTTATTTTTCATAGTATTACCATTCTCCGCTATAACTGGTGCATCTTCCGTTCTAACAAGTGTTGGTATGTCTCTTCACGTTTGTTTAAACCGAGCAACTATATGTACGTTTTTAGCATCTTCTGTAATCACGCCTGTACAAGTGCCGAAATATTTGTGTCAATATAATGGATATCCGTCCTTAGTCAATGGCAGTGATGGAAACGTGACGAGTGCAACAAACATTTTTCAAAATTTTGATCTCATTGTGTTTGCCGATAGTCTTTCGGATCCAAATCATCCGGACTATCAGAATACTATAGCTATCATCTCGAGATTGAATACATTTAATAAAATAGTTTATGGTTCTATTGTGATGAGTGTATTGCCGACATCGAATCTGTCAATATACGAACTTCAACAAAGTATTTCAAACTGGTCTGCAATGGGTGTAAAAGGTACTATTTAGAAACTATAATTTTGTCATACCTGATTTTTCGCTGTTCTCAGGTGTATTGTTGAACAATGCTGGTTTTGATTACAATGTAACTCGTGACCGTCAATCCGCAATCATTATGTTTTGTCATCAACTGAATTTGAGTGTAATGATAAATGCTAATAATCCAGATGATGTTTTATCTGGTCAAAATGTAACACTAGATTCACGTGATATCTACTTGTTTTCGCCTTATCTCGTTACAAATGGTCGATTTTCTTCACTTACAGATTGGCAACAAAAAGCTGTTAAATGTTTCAATAAAACAATTGAACTTGGTATAAAAGTTGCATGTCAAGCAACAAGTAATTCTACCATCGCAGCAACATTTAATATGACAGATTTATTTTCTCAAGCATGGTACGGAACAG